CACACACACACACACACACACACACACACACACACACACACACACACACACACACACACAGAGGGTGTTTCAGAAATAGTTGGCCAAACTTTAAGAGCATATTTCACTTATTGTAAGGATGAAAAAAAATCATATACATGGGTTTGTAAACGCTTCCTTTCCAAGTTATAAACATTTTTTTATTTTATACTTATATCTATTAATAAAATCATGAAATATGTACATATTTCATGATTTTATTAATTGTTCTAATTAAAGGAGTCTGTAAAAACTTATTAATTTTTTTGTTAATTTGTGATTTATAACTTATATCTATATTTTATTTTATACTTGTATCTATTTTTTATTTTATACTTATATCTATATTTTCATTACAGAAATTGCTGGAAATGATTTCCTTCGTATTATCGCTGCATGTGAAAAAATACGAAATACCCTGAGAATTTTTGAACAATCCATGCGACATCGATGCGAAGCATGCATCAATGCGGAAGGAAATCATTTTTAGCAATTTCTGTAATAAAAATATAGATATAAGTATAAAATAAAAAATAGATAGAAGTTTAAAATAAAATATAGATATAAGTATAAAATAAAATATTTATTTCTTCCCTCGGGAAATATTTGTTCATCAAATCGTTATAATATAATCACGTTACACACACACTCACATATATATATATATATATATATATATATATAAGAACATTCCACTCATTGTAAAGATAAAAAAAAGTCATGTAAACCTTCCTTTTAAGTTATAAACATTTTTTATTTTATACTTATACCTATATTTTATTTTATACTTATATTTATATTTTATTTTAAACTTATATATGTATGTATGTATGTATGTATGTACGTACGTATGTACGTACGTACGTATGTTATGTATGATGTATGAGTGGTGTATGCGTGCGTGCGTGCGTGAGTGCGCGCGCGTGCGTGTGCGCGCGTGTGTGTGTAAATAAATAAATATAATCTAATAATAATGAGAGCTACACTGACAAAGTATATGTGAAAAAATATTGATATAACTTCCAACATGTTTATATAGTTATATGTTATGTAATTTAATATATAAGTGCATAAGTTAAATTGTGTATGACTAGTGCTCTCTCTCTCTCTCTCTCTCTCTCTCTCTCTCTCTCTCTCTCTCTTTCTCTCTCTCTCTCTCTCTCTCTCTCTCTAGTTCTCAGTTTAGTTAAATTATTTGTATTAAGTTATAGTTACATTATGTAATAGTTTTTTGTTTTATTACTTAGGTATGAGACGTAAGAGCGAAAGAAACAAAACGAAGGGATCTCCAGAGAAGAAAGCCGAGAAACCAACAAGGAAGTCAACGCGTAGGCGTGGCAAGAGATCACCTTCTACTTCATCTGAGCAAGACCCTTTTATCGAGGATGCGGCTAAGAGTGTCATTCAACTCAAGGAGATTGAAAAGGAGACAAGTATGCAAACGCGCCTGCAGAGCAAGGAATTGGAGCAAATTCCACATAGGCATGAAGAGAAGGTCTCTTCTAGTGATGTAAATATAAAGGTGGACTTACCCGAAGACGAGGACAATGCCGGCTCTGTGTGGAAAGTAGCTAGAGCGGATGCATCACCTGGCGAGATACAAAAGTTGAAATTATGCAGGCAGCGCAACACGTCAGAGCCATCAGATACACCACCATCGAGTAGGAAAAATGTCGTCATGTCAAGTAGCAAGTGGCAAGAAAGTGGTGAGGGAGTTGCAGAGGAGGCTGACTCGGCGGATGAGCAACTGGTTTCTTGTACAAGAACCCTCAGTAGCACTGAACAGCCGAACGATCCCTCCTCTTCATACCCAGGTCAGGACTCCAACGAAGAGGTAAGTGATAGCAAGGAGATCCTGCCTGAAACCACTTCAGCCAACTTGTTGTCTGACGATAAACCAAACATAGATCAGCATGGTGAATCAAATGAGGCAAATTGCACTGCCCAAGTAGTTGATATCGAACCTGATAAGCCGGGTAGCATGACACCATCTCCAGTGCCGGCTCCTAGTGCGAACGGTGAGGAGACTATCACCACTATCATCGTTAAGGAAGCTAAACCTGCGGAAGACATCAGTGAAAAGCCAACGGAGACATTTGTCAAAGAAACTAGCGTGGAAAATGTTCGTAAAGATATGAATAGCGAAGATGAGGAGGAGGAGGAGGAAGAGCAGGATGATAAAACAAAAATGCATCGTCCGGTGGATTCGTCATCTGATTCAAATGACGAATCACGCTCTAAAAGAAGCAGAACAAGTAGTGATCGAACGTCGCCACGTGCGACTCGTAGAAAACATCGAAACAAATATAGAGATTCGTCTAATTCAGATACACCTGATTCCGAAGATGAACCTATTGACAGAAAGATCTCTGAATCTTATGTGGAGGAGGAAGAGGAGGAGCAAGAGAAAAAACCGAGTACAGAATATTTACAAGAGAATGATAAACAACAATCAGTGTCGCCGGAAAGAACAAATTCTCATTCAAATAATGTAGAAAAAATAGAGGTGGAACATAGTAAAACTGTTGAAGATAAATTGGAAAAAGATACAACTGAAAAATTGGAACAATCTACACCGGCTAACACACAGGTGGTCGCTCACAAGCCTGTTAAAGTCAACTTGAAAAGATCATTGTAAGCATAAATGTTCTTATGCAATGAATATCTTTTCTTGATAAAGTTTTATTTGTAAAAGAAATATATAATAAATACAATATTAAAGGTTTTTTATGTATTGTTATATTTGCAGAGTGATTCAGTTATTTTAAAATGTATAATAAATCAAAATATCAAGATTGAGCTATAATTTAATTATGATGCTTTTATATGTTTTCAGCTCAACAAGAATATTGTCTGAAAAGAACGAAATAAAAAGAGACGATGCTGATACAAGCATCAATGAGTCCATTAGTCAAAATAAGGTATATAATATTCTCTGCCTAAGTTAGAAGCATATTTATATTTTTTCATTTAGCATTTTTTTATATTCGAATAATGTGTATTTCAGGAAAACGGCAATGAACAAGAACCAAAATGTGTGCCGAGAAAACGTCGATGGGGGATCGCGCTTTCTACGGATACAGCGCCCTCATTTTCTATCTCTACCGATTCGCTTAAGGTTTTACTCCATTTACATATAGATGTATAATACATATATCTCTTTATTCTTGAACATCAAAATTCACTAATAATAATAATAATAATAATAATGCGATAGGCATTGGTGCCAGGTGCAAAGCCATTATCCATCAACGAAGTTCGTCTCTCAAAGGACGATGATGAAGACAGAGATCGGCATAGAAGTAACGATAAACGGCACAATTCTAGTGACATTACATATGATAAGACAACAGATGAAAACTTGCAGAAAAATGGCGCTGCTAAAAAGGGCAATGGAAAAGTAGATAATCACATCGGTAAGTGTACATATAATCTGTTAGATAAAACGGATACTTTTTTTATGTAACTTAAATAATCTTGTAATTCCTTTTTCATATTTTTACAATATTCTTATTATTTCTAATGTAGTGACAAGGCGGAAGATATCAATAGTGAAAGAAATGCCGCACATAAAATCACCAAGTCCACCAACGTCTAAACCTACCAATATCCTTTTGATCAAGAATCTAGTTCGCCCTTTCACACTAAATCAGATCAAGGAACTTCTTTCGCGTACCGGCACTATCATAGAGAATGGATTCTGGATGGATCGGATTAAGTCTAAATGCATTGTTGAAGTACGATTATATAAATAAGGAATATCTTATAAAATTTGAGTTTTGAGTCAAATCTTTCACGATTATATTAATATTATAGTATTCCAATGAGGATCAGGCTTTTGAGACAAGGCAGGCACTTCACGGAATTTCTTGGCCTATGTCTAATCCAAAAAAGCTCCATGTGGAATACGCTACGAAGGAGGATATGGAGACTGCCCGGGAATCGTCGAAGGAACAACCGGTTGCTCGCAAAACTGAGCCACTCTCGTCGGATTCGTGGCAACAAGATTGGAGTCGCGACGAAAAGACTAATACTAAGGTAAAAATTTGCATGTTTTCTTAGATTTGAGTATTTTTGATCATCTTAATGAGACACATCTACACATTAGGTGACTGTGGTGAGAGAATGGGATTTAGGCAAAGAGGACGGCCAACAACACATCAGAGAGAAGGAGCGTGAGAAAAAGGATCATGATAAAAAGCGACGAGTGAGGAGTCGCAGCCCAATATTGGACGCACATCTATCGGCACCAGCTCGCAAATTCAAGAAGAAAGAGGATGATCCGCCACCGGCAAAGCTTTTGGATGATCTCTTTAGGAAGACAAAGGCGACACCTTGCATATATTGGTTGCCGCTTACGAATGAGCAGGTAGGGAAATTTAACAAGCAACAGCTATATGTTAGCATTTCATCCTTCTGAAATATTTATATAGGAAAAGATTGTTAACAAAATAAAATACACAAAATAAAATATAGAAAAGATTTGTTTATAATTTCGAAAAGAATTTCTCATTTTTTTATTTTATCGATATATTTATATATAGGAAAAAAAAATATATATATATATATATTAATGTGCGTGTGCGTGTGTATATACAAGGTGTCCTATTTGAAGCTTCAGATGCAATTATATCCCAAACTCCAAACTATTCGTTATTCCAAAAAAGTGTTTTAAGAGGACTTACTTGTTTCGAGGAGGATAAATAAGTGTGACTGAATAAGTAATAAATAAGTACAAAAATGAAAACTATATGTTTTGTCTTTTTTGCAATTTTCTCCAAAACAAATATATATATATATATATATAAATAAATGTGTAAAACAAATAAGTGAATTGGTAATAAATGTTTTTATGTGGAAATATTGTAGATAGTCGTGAAGGAGGAGATGCGACGGCAACATATGGCGGAACACGCGCGCAGATTAGAAGAGATGAGACGTGCCGATAGAAATAGGGACAACCGACGTCGACGTACTCCGAGAAAATAGAGATCAGCGTATATCGTCAGCAACATTAAATGTATTCCTCCCTTTTCCTGATCCCCTTTGTCCTGAATTTAATTTTCCTTTATTCCACTTCACTCAGTTTTTTAATTCACAATTTTGTTTCTTGTTATTGATCTATATTGTTTATTAGACATATTTTTTTTTGGAATCGTTCAAGAATATCTGAAACGTTATGTTTCGACATTTGTTCATATTTTGATCTATTTTCTTTTTCTATATTCCCTTTTATGTTGTCATCTCTTTAATCTCTGATCTCTCTACTTTCCGTAAATTTAATTTCAGATATTCAATGCATGACTATTAAATATCCTTTCAACTCCTTGTTCCCTTTCCTCGAATATCAGAATTAAACCATACTTCTTACAGGTCAACATTTATTTATCCCACAGAGAGCCAATAACTATAGACGTGATAGTGGTTCTGTATTTGCGTCAACCGTTCATGGCAGATAATACCAATTCACTCTCATGTTGAAATGCAGCATTCACGGAATAACTTTACAACGTGGGAACCTCTTTGAAGAAAATAGATGAGACATATTGAATGTGGAATAGACTTGACATTCATGAGAATATCGTTTATTTCTTCGCTCTTTTTTCTTGTTTTCCTTTTTTACGAATCGAACTCTGACACAAATATAATCGAATGGAGGAATGAAATCGTATGACACATATAGTTTGGATGGAAAACACTGTCGCCCGAAACGCAGAAAAGCATTTCTATGAAGACATTGTTGGACATTATTGATGGATAAAAGACGAACTTTGTCTCTGCGTTAAGTATTTTTCAAGGTCTGTTTTGGTTGCGTCGAGCTCAACAATTGCCAACCATTCGACTTTGATAGCGACTACATCAGGAAGCGTCGCGTCAGTGTTAACCATTAATATAGACTAGGGCAGGGCGAAGACATGTCTGTAAATATAACCCATATTTCGTGGGGTGTGACATGTAAAATTATTAATAAATCCTAAAAATGATGAAAACACGCTTTTGTGTAAGCGTATACATAGGTACATTTATCGTTTTCTTTTTATAATACACTTATTGGAGAATTTGTTACTCACCTATGACGAAAAATTGAGAACAATGATGAGTAAATACATTTATGCTTAAAATAAATAATCGCCTATGTTATTGTCGTTATTTAATTTGCTGTACAATCATAGAACTGCATTTAATAAATTAGTAGTGAAATATCGCGCCAAAATAGAATACGTTCGTTTAAATTTATTGCAAATGCGCATATAAATTCATTTGATTATTTTATTTGTATCAGTAATAATATTATCAACGCTAACATTGTAGGTACTTTAGTTTACAAAATCCGAGTACAGAATATGTGCATATATTGACTGTTCACATGTCACGATTATGATTATGCTGTTATTTATTTGGTAGACAGTGAAAAAGAAGACAAAATTTTTCAATTGTCAAGCTAGTTCTCAATTTGTACATTTTTATTACTTATGTATTTAATTTATAATTTAAAAAACATGGATGACACGTGCGTTTCGCAATTAGAATCGAATTGTACTTTTATGTCATTACGCGTGCACACGTTTAATATTTTCCGTTTTATTAAAATTCCTTTTCCAATACCAATAATAAATAAATGAATAGGAGAGTGGTCTAAATCGGACCTATTTGCAGTTTTTGCTCTCTATAAGGCGTAAATAAAGTCCGATCGTAAAATCGAAGGTGCCATTGGAAAGATCATTTAATTCCCTTCATCTTTGCTTCAGACCATTTTGACATGTCTCTCAACTGTGTTGAACTATAATGGAAAATGTAAAAACGCCTTTTTCGGTCCGATTTGGAACCATTGGTTCCAAATCGGACCATCCCTTGGTTCGAATCGAAAACTTATATTTTTATATAATTTTTAGATAAAATTTTAAAATATTTTAATGTATTTTTCTTAGTATTGAGTAAAAACGAGCAATTTGACAAAGATAAAAATTTTTTCGGAAAAAGAAATTACTAACTTTATATATTATTAGAATTAAAATTAATAAAACTCAACTAATCTGAGTCTGATGACTCATGATATTTTACCGATTTAATTGCTTAAACCAGATCTGGTCAGTCGATCACCAGTACTACCACCTAGCCTATAAGTTATTCACTATACTGTCCGATTTGGACACGGGTCCTTTCGAACTTTGGAATAAATTTTACAATAAACCACAAGTGATCACAAAATGCTCGATATTTTTTAATTCTACACTCTTTAATTATCTTAAATCAATTACTTTTCAAATTTTTAACACCTTTTAAATGATTTATAAGGATTTTCTTTTTTAAAAAAAATTTTTGCACGGTAGCTGAAAATACATATTTGCGTCTATTTTATGAATGTTATGATAGAGAACTGTCAAACTGCTATCACAGGGGTGATCCCGATTGACCACAGTTCGATTGGACACCACCAATCACAGCGACCGGTGCTTAGGAGCTTTGTAGTCTCAAGCGCTGTAAATGGCTCGTGTCCAACTGGGTGCCACCCCTATCACATGTTCGGTGTCATATAAGGACTTTATATTATAAATAGTACGCAAATCTGCTTAACCGTATTCATTTAAATTAAAAAGGTCCTATTTAGACCACTCTCCCCTAAACAATAAGTAATTTGACCAGAATCGATTTCATGTGACACATTGAAGATTCAATCTGAAACGTATCATGGTTGCATGCCATATAATGCTTTTGCGAAGTGAAGCATTTTGAGAGTAAAGGAAAAAATAAAACAAGACACTTATGCAGATTTTCGCAGACATCTAAAACATACATCGTTTAATATGCATTATGTATGTTAGACGCTTATCCGAGAAAATACTTTTCGAAGAATGTCAGATAGTCGATAACGACGTCCACTCTTCGAAAATTGTAAACCTTTTTCGCGTTAATAAAATAAACTATTTATTATTTATGACGATACTTGCAACGATGTATCTCAACAATAACGACGTGAAGATGCGCTATTATTTGCTTATTATTATCATATGGATTTTTTCTCCTTTATCTTTATAACGCGGGTTTACACAATATCGACTATCGCTCATTCTCATTACGATCTGTTTCATTCATATTACATTCATCATACAAGCATTGTTCTCATCATCAGTTTTATTTAATCAACCTTCACAACACTATAAATCTTGCGCACGAACCAAAAACAGGCAAAGAAACCAATGGAACCTGAAAGAAAATAAATTTTATTTTTTAAAAGTCAATGATAACTATGTGGCATTTAACAAAAAGTTTAAGCTAAACACATAATGAATACTCACCTGTCAAAAGGAAGAATAAGTAAACCATAATGAACGTATATCCAAAATACAGGAACGTAGAGGTGGCACCTTCAATTTCTAACTTAGTGACGAAGAAATGTATACAATAGATTAACAAATAGACAGCAGTAAAGCCAGATGTAAGAAAACTGCGCCACCACCAGTGATAATCCTACAAAGAAATTATTAATGTAACGATATTTAATACATATACAAAAAAAATACACAAGCATGATTTTCTGTAAAGTCTGTATTTACCTCAGCGCAGAGATGGAAATAACAGAGCAGAATTGTCGTTTCGGAACACGTGATGACGAGTATAAGAAAAACCAAGAAGAGAAATCCAAACATGTAATATACTTGGCTTGACCTAGTAAAAATGACTCGTAAGAACATTTATTAATAAGAATATTAATATGCAATACTTACCAAAGAGAATTAAGTATGAAGAATAATTGAATAAATATGCAACCGAATGGCAGGACACCACCCATTATGACTCCAGGTATTGGTTGTGTGTAAAAATTCTGCTCTGGTATTTGCCGAGGAATTTGATTTGTTCGTACCGGATGCTCCAAAGCCTGCGGCGTTATTTCAATTATTTATAAATACATACTATACTAAAATAATATTAATTTATAATTACCCTTTTTTTGAAACCAAAGTAAGCACCAATAAATGTTAACGGTACGGATACTCCAAACCACAGTGCCAGAAGCGCGATTAAAGTGCTGAAAGGTACTGCGGCCGAACTTCCGTTTACCCAAAATATCAGATTCATTATGAAGAATAAACTGAATACAATTCTGTGAAAAATTAAATAAATTTTTATATCGTACACATTTACATCAAACAAATGACATTCGTAAAAACTAATTTATTTTTAAAGGAACAGAATTGACTAAGAAAATAATAAGTCTTACCCGGGACTAAGCATAGATGTGAGTAATACGTTGGACTTCCATTTCTCTCCTCCGAAACTTTTGTATATTCGAGCGGCCACATATCCCGCAGTGGTTCCCAGACAAACGTATAACACCATTGCACAAGTCATTAATGCACCTCTATTAGCAGGCGAAAGGAAACCCAGACAAGCGAATGCTGTAGCATAAAGTTAAAATAACATTTATAATTTATCATTTGAAATAAAAGAAAAAATATTTAATAAGTTTTTACAGTTTAGATTCAAATAATCTGGAATAAGTATTAATTTCAAATTTAATCTAATAAATTTGATGAGAAAGCATAAAGGGAAGAAAAGGAAGGGGGAGGGGGGGGGGGGGGGAGAGAGAGAGATTTTTACCTAATGTAACCAGCGTCATGAAGAACACTTGAATACCGGATCCTAGCAAAACTGAAAGCAACATCCCTTTACGCGGAGGGCGAAACACATCGCCGTGTACCAATTTCCATCCAAATTCCTCTTGTGCATCTTCTCCTGATTCTATCTGGAAGTAGGCCTGCGTTATCGCAACACAGACAAACGGATATCACAATTTTGTAAAAGTGAAGAAAACATTTGGTTACCTTCACCTTTTCATGAAACATATATTGTTTTACAAAAGTCTAATTTTGCGTTTATGAATTAATTTTTCAATTAATCATTCAAAGCACTTTTTTAAGTAAAAGGTTAATATTTAACCCTAACTATACACACTGGGGTCCAAGAAACCTCAGTGCAATTCGCTAAATCGAGATTTTTTAGTGTTTCTAAACTTTTCTTTTTCTTTGAACTTATATATCTCAAAGCTCCTTAATTCCATAGACTTTTACACATTATGGACTTGTTTCTTAATCAATTATTCATCGATTAAAACAAATTAATTGAAATATATCCATTTTTACAGAAGTTACAGTAATAAACGTGGGATCCCAAGGATCTGAGTGTATATATCACGGGTAGAAAAAAGTGTGTATAGCTAAGGTTAAATTACCTTTTTTTAGTTTCCAAAACACATTAATTAATTAACAGGAACTTCTCATAATATCTTCTTATAACTTTATTAAATTTTATCTCGAAATTTTGTATAGACGAAGTTTCCAATAAAAATGAAAGCCATTTTGGCTCCGCTGTAATTGAATAAAAAAGTAATTGAAGAAAAAATAGACATAAATAGCTATTTTTATTATGTGGTTCAGTTATTAAATATCCTGAAATTCTCGGAGATGATAACAATTCATACATTTGTTAGTTATACATTCATTTTAAAAGAAAATAGATATAGCAAATGTAGATAATATAAGCTGTGTTTCAAAATTCGCTGCTAGTACTGAAAATCTATAGTTTACGTTATGTGCACTAGAGATCTTCAATACTGGCGATTAATTTTAGATAGAACACAGCCACAGAAAAAGAATGACATGCTATTAAATTGTAACAACTGAATAAAGTATATAGGTACCTGGTTGTATCGTGCGATATCTTTGTGCAGAGTACGAAGCATTATCATAGCTACCATTCCAGAGAGGAATAGAACGATTATCAACGAGTTAAGAATACTGAACCACTGAATATTTGAATGAGGCATCGATTCTAAAATGTAATCCCACCTAGATGACCATTTAATCGTGTTATTTTTCTGGAATAATAAGTATAATAATAAATACAATAAATTATTAAATTTTATTAATTATCGTTAAAACCATTTTATTATTGTATACTCGCGAAGATATACTTACCACAAATTTAACAG